TATTGTTTTGATTTATAATTTTGAATTTCATTAAATATTAATAATAATACATTAATTGTCTGTTATAACTTATAACTATTTCCTCTATCTCATTTCTTTATTGGCTGAAATAAACTTCTTAAATTTATGACTTAAGGGCTGGATCTGACCTGGATTAGGGATGGTAATGGAGCAGATATGGCGCTTCTGTAGTCGGCAGGATTCTGCTCAAGAGTTGCCAGACAAATATCTTCAATTTCGGAGGAATGTTGGCATCCCAAAGTCGGATCCAACTAGCTTTGTCCATCCAACTAACCTGTGCCCGCCACCGCCCATTCAATTGATCCTGACGGACAGCTAGGTGATAGGCCGACTTAACAGAGAAGAGACCATCAACAGTAGCATGCCAAATCAGTCGATCCTCAATATTCCGCTGCGGTAAAGGCATTGCCAGAATAGCCTGGCATGTCAGGGGGTCAAACCACTGCCTAAGCTTATCCTCACACCAACGACCTCCCCCCGGGCAGATGACTGCAGAGACCTTTAGTCCCCCCCCCCCCCTCCGGAAGGATTCGCGGATTATAAACCGGGGGTACCGGGTGTAGCGCTGAGATCCAATTAGAGTCAAGTAAGGGGGCTGTTTGCCCATTTCCAATCTGCCAGCGTAACCCTGTTGACAACAACTGGCGCCCATACAGAATGCTCTGCCATCCCCAGGAAGGGCGGGAACGAGCCGTGGCTGAAAGGAAAGATCCCTTCGGGAAATACTTCCCCTTATAAACCTGGGCTAAGAGGGATTGGGGCTCAGTAAGGATTCGCCAACCAATCTTAGCTAAAAGAGCTTGATTAAAATGCTCGAATCGACGAAATCCCATGCCTCCCTCATGTTTACTCCTGCACATGTTCCGCCAGGAAACCCACCGGACCCTTGAGCATCCCTCTTCAACCCCCCACCAGAATCTAGCCACATGTTTGTCCAAGAGCCGACATAGAGACAAAGGAAGACGAAAGCAGGACATCACATGGAGCGGCAAAGCTAGAGCTACCGATTTGATGAGCGTTTCTTTAGCTGCCGACGAGAGGGTCCTCCTCTTCCATCCTTGCAGACGTTCTAGCAATTTCTCCTCCAGATACCGGAACGTGGCTGTCTTGGATCTAGCTATCAAAGTGGGGAGACCAAGATACTTGTCCTGCACCCCGACGGCGCCCACACCAAGGATAGCCGCCAAGAACTCCTGATCAGGCAAGGAGATGTTCTTACTAAAACACACTGCTGATTTCTCCAAATTCACCCTTTGGCCACTTAACTCTTCATACTCATTTAGTACTTCAATCAGATTCTCACATTCCTGTAGGGAACCACGGAGGAACAAGTAAGAATCATCAGCGAAGAACAGATGAGATATTCGAGGGGCCCGGGGCGCAACCTTGACTCCTGCCAACTTCTTTTCCGAGATAACTTTGCGGAGTAAAGTAGCAAACCCCTCTGTGCAAAGCACAAAGAGAAGGGGAGAAAGAGGGTCCCCCTGACGGAGCCCTCGAGAAGGCGCAAAGAATCCTGATGGAGACCCATTCACAAGGACTGAGAACGAAGCGGACTGTAAACACTCCCGAATCCACCCTCGCCAGACCGAACTAAAGCCCATTTTTTCCAAAACCGCCAACAGAAAGGACCATTCAACTCTATCATAGGCCTTTTCCATGTCAACCTTTAGAGCCATGTACCCTTTCTTACCACGGGTTTTGATTTTCAAATAATGCATTAGCTCATGCCCAATGAGGATATTATCCACAATCTGTCTTTCTCTGATGAAGGCATTTTGCCCTTCCGAGATAATGATAGGCAAGATCCCCGCAAGTCTTTCTGCCATAATCTTAGTTATTATTTTGTACACGAACTGGCATAAACTGATAGGGCGAAGCTGGCGCATGGATTCCACCTGATCTACCTTGGGGATCAGCGTTAACCATGTGTGATTAAAACTCCTGAGCATCTTACTAGTAGTAAAGAACGAGCTCACCGCTGACGCCACTGACTCCCCAACAATCTCCCATAAAGCTTTAAAAAACTTGCCTGTGAACCCATCTGAGCCAGGGGCCTGTTTCGAACCCATCGCAAAGACCATTTTACGTATCTCCTGCGGACTGACCTCAGCAGTAAGGGTAGCATTCATTTCTGGGGTCACATTGGAGGCAATGGGAAGCGCAGCCACCCGCTCAGCCATATCCTGGACTTGCGACTCCGAGGTGAAGAGAGACTGGTAAAAACTAGTCGCAATATCCGCCTTCCCTTTTTCATCTGTTATCCACTCCCCGTCATCATTGAACAGGCCAGAGACAAAATTTCGTTTACGTCGAGTTCGCGTGACCGTGTGGAAGTAGGAGGTGTTCTGATCACCTCTCTTCAGCCATCGGACACGCGACTTTTGTTGCCAGTAAGCTTCTTCTGCCTCCCATTGCCTACTTAATTCCGACTCAAGAGTAGCAACCTCGTGCCAGTTGATAGGGTGAACAGCTTTGAGGTAATAACAGATTTAGATCGAGATCGAGACTAAGGAAATAACAGATTTAGCATCTTGGGGTAATAGAAGCTGCAGGCATCGGCGATTCAGTGAGAAGCAGTTCCATTGCAATCGATATTCTTATATTTGGATTAGAGGTATTTAATTCTGGATGGCTAAACCTTGTTTTACTATTATCGTCCTAACATAAAATATGATTTTACTAAATTATCCTTAATAATAAACTTAAATTAAACGAAATACACAACCTTTAGATTTCTAATCCTCCTTCAAACTCCTCCTCTCCAAACACACATCACCGGCGGCCTTCTCCCTTACACTCCGCGGCCACGATTCCCCCAAATTCCGGAAAATAAGTCGACATGAAGCCAATTAATCCTAGGAACCATCTGATTATGCCATCAAAACTCAATTGGACCGGGGATTTCTATCGTCGTTCATGTACGATGGCGCCTACTGCCGCTACTACACCCCTCCAATCACAGATTCTCTAATCCTCATCAAGTGGACACAAAGACGACGCTTGCCGCTACTTCAACCCTCTACCAGCCGGTCCTTTTATCATCAAGATTAGGGGTGTAAATCGGGGTGGGTGTGGTTACTCGCCCACATTGTACGAGTAACCACACCCACAAATACTACCCACAACCTGTCCTGCGGTGGGTAGTGGTTAACCACTATCCGCTACGGGTTGGTGTGGGTTGTTTATGGATACCCACAAAAGTTTAATCATTAAATAAAATAATATGGTAATTAAGTAGTGAAGTTGTGTTTCTTCTCACAAAAACAAAAATATACATAAAATAAAGTTAATAAAGTGTTAAATAAATTATAAATCTCGAATACAAGAGGTTAGTTAGTGTAAATTTAGAAGAGATGGATTTGGAAAGAAATTTGAAGATAATTGAGAGGTAGAGTGACCTGTTACCAGACAAACATAGTTGCATGTCACGATTCCTCCGATGAAAACAACAACAAAACACAACAGTGGCTCGATAAGTGGAGGCACCCGCTTTTAATGAATCGATTATTCTCCACTCTCGATTATAGTACTGTATCGTTGGTAGCTAGTTGCATGTTATGTTGTTCATGAGTTCATGGATAAATGGAGACGAGTTTGGGTATGGAACTAACCTTTATCGATTATTTCCCTCTTCTAACGAATAAATTAATTTATCCGACTATATCTATTGACTTGGTTTTGTTATAAAATATACATATACCACACGGACAATGCTTATTTGATAAAAGTATCTCACACGAACATTGCGTATTGACTTGGTTGTGTTTTATAGAGTAAGTACACATTTGATTTTAGTAGCTACCTTAATTCTTAGTCTTCCAAGTTTCACAAACTAATATAAACTAATATGGTTAATGTGGGTTGTGTGGGTAAACCGCTGTGGGTAGTGGTTAACCACTAACCACAAAAATCAATATTTTGCTACCTACACCCAACCCACTATCCACAAATTGTGGATATGGGTATCCACAAAGTGTGCGGGTTACCCACAACCCGCAAACCAAACTTCCACCCCTAATCAAGATTCTTGATCACTTGAGGCTCAACATTCTCTTCAACGTGCAGCTTCATTCCGTATGCAGTTTCCAAGTTCCAACTTGGTCTTTCTCTCCCCAGACTGGAGAGGAAAATTGCGGTCTTTCCCCGGTGTCCTGTGTGTTGGGCCCCATCGGAAACGATGGAGCACCTTTTCCTTGATTGCCCTGTGGCCAGGGCTTTGTGGACTCTGTCGGGTTTGGATCATCTTGGGGAGGGCTTGCCCCGTCATACTTTCCCTCTTTTCCTGAAGAAGCTTCTGGCTATCCTGCATCAACCCTCACAGGTTATGGACGTTATTGCTATCCTTTGGAGGATTTGGCGATCGCGGAATTGGGTGGTCTTTGAAGGGAAGCAGTTTGGTATCGGTGCTCTGATGAGGCAGTACCACCAGCAGGTAGGGGAATGGGTGAACTTACCTAAAGATCCCCGGCGTCCCTCTCTGCCTTATCCTAGCGCTAGTTCTGTGGGTTTGGATGGGGCAGGGGGGCCTGTGTGTCGTTGGGATGGAGCAGTCCGGTTGGGGTCTCACTCTGCGGGAGGCTTCGTGTTCCTTAATGAGGGAGGAGAGACCCTTTGGGCTGCTGGTGTTCAGTTCCCTCTGCTGGATGACCCAATGGTGGCGGAAGTACTTACCCTTCGAGAGGCGATCCGCTGGTGTATTTCGCAGGGTTTTGTGTCAGTGAGGTTTGAAGGCGACGCCAAGGTGGTCATTGATAAGCTTTGTCATGATGATGCGCGTGATAGTCGAATTGGGGCAATTTTGGAGGAGATTCTGCAGGTTTTTAAGATTTATCCGGGTTTCAATGTTCGATTTGTAGGTCGGGGTAGCAATAGGGTAGCTCATAGTGTAGCTAGACAGGCCCTGTCTTTGTCCCCGACTACATGTCGTTGTTTTGATTTTCAGACCTGGCTGAATTCCAGGATGTAACTATCGATTTGTTCCTATCAATATATGATTATCTTTTGTCAAAAAAAAAGATCTCGATCTCAATCCCCATTGTTTGTTGACATGGAATCACAGACAACATAATTGCAAGGGGAAACCACCACAGTTCAAATTCTGAGTTCTTTTGTGTTCTGGGTGGAAATGAAAAGCATAAAGGCATCAATCAAACAGCCCACGGAGGGATGAATCTGTTCAGCACATTAGATACAAGTTAATCGTTACACCATACGTCTACTTCTATTACTAATACCCGCAAGGATTAATCTTCGCCCAGGTCCTTTCCTCTCCCAACATGAACCCGGTCCTTTGAAATGAATTGCAATCCGCTCCCGGCTAATTCTGCACAATAAGAATCCCAGCAAGGCATGATGAATATATGATCAGAACAAGTAAAAAACGAAATGGTGGTTTTTTTAAAGTTGCAATGAACTTGTAACAAAAGCAAGCGCATTAAACACTCTGAGGTCCAGAGCTACTATTTTGGTTACCTCTGCTCCAGCTTCATCAGCTTTAGACTGTTCACCTGCCAAACAAACAAGTTTCAATTATCAGCTCAAACAAACAAGCACAAACGTTTGGTCATCCGGTAAGGTATAAAACGCCACACAAGCAATAAATGTCACTTCCTATCCCGACTGGAAAGCAAAGCATCAACCACAACCAAGTAAAATCATTATACCGTGTCTTCCCTACCAAACAAGTTGTTTAAACCAGTGATTATGATATAGTACTGGCCGGTTAGACCACATAGCTGGTACAGAATTTTTGCAGTTTTGTGTCAAGTTTTAATCGGCTTTGTCGTTGTAACTCTATAGTACCATAAACCATTAGCCTCACAGGTCTGATCTTGAAAACGGTTTCACAACCCATGGTTTTTAAACCCATTGATATGCAATTCACCGGCTCAAATGAAACTATGTATTGAAAGAGCAACCTCAATGTCAAACTCCGTTGGATTTGCAAAACTGGAACTTATAGCACATCAAATTTAAGCTGCAATCCCTCGACTTAAAAAGAGACGACATAAATAGCAACATTCAAGCAAATAACAAATGTCTAGTATTCAGTATTCAAGAAGGTAATAGACACTGTTTGGGCTTACCTCCTTCCTCAGGAAGATCTGTGGTCCACAAAGAGAGATTATCCCTAAGCAGCTGCATGATGAGAGTACTATCCTTGTACGACTCTTCATTTAAGCTATCGAGTTCTGCTATAGCTTCATCAAAGGCTTGTTTAGCAAGATGGCAAGCCCTACAAACACAAAAAACATGTATTATTGTCTTAGACAAAGTCCACAAGTTATCCACAAGCTCACTGAAACTTGCAAATTGCAAGTGAGAGCAGAGGAAATAGCTCGCTTTATGGGGCCAGGATAGTGGAAACAGAAAGATACCGAGAGAAGCTTGCTACCTTTCAGGAGAGTTCAAAATCTCATAGTAGAAGACTGAAAAGTTCAGAGCTAGACCAAGCCTGATTGGATGAGTAGGCGGCAGATCTGATGCAGCAGATGATGTGGCAGCCTGTAACATAGCAATATAACATGAGTCTCAATCAAGCTAAAGGCCACATTACCATCTACAAATCAGTTACACATGACCAACTAAAAAAAGTTCAGAGATGAACAAACACTGCAAATACCTCGTAAGCCTTTAGTGATTGATCAGCAGCTTCTTTGCGATCATCAGTACCCTTAAACTCAGCCAAATAACGGTAATAGTCTCCTTTCCTGCAACAATAAAAACAAAATTTGCATATTCATAGCCAAGAAACTGTCTATATGAAAGTTTGAGAATCTTATATCACCATGTTATTATTCATCACTTGTTCTTCATTCAGAAAAGACAGTCAAAAAGCACAATGAAATGGTTTGATTTTTTATGAATCTCACTCACATCTTATAGTAAAACACGGTTGACTCCCCCGACGTGGCTGAGGGAATAAGATGCTGATCAATGACCGATAGTATGTCATTACAAATTTTTGCAAGCTCATCCTCAACCCTCTGCCTGTATTCTTTGATCCTCTTAACGTTTTGTTCATTCCCCTTGGCCTCTTCCTTTTGTTCGATTGAGGACAATATACGCCAAGATGCCCTCCTTGCTCCAATAACATTCTTGTAACCCACAGAAACCAGATTCCTCTCCTCCACTGTCAGTTCCAAGTCCAACTTAGCAACATTCTTCATTGCTTCGACCATCTCTGAAAGTAGTAGGAATGGAAGAGGAAAGAAAACAACTAAATCAGTGAGGGTTCAAGAAATACATGATCAAGTTGCTTAAGAAGCTTCATAATGTACTTATAAACTAGCAAAACAAGAACAGGGGACTTAAAAGACATACTATCATCTTGCTAGCAAGGAACATGATAAGGTCATGCTACTAAAATATCAAACATTGAGCTTCAAATAGACAGTGAAAAAATTGTGCCCTGAATCGTAGTCATTGAACCTAGATCAATGGTCTAAGGTCTAGAAAGAAGAGAGTGAATACGAGGAAGAACCCAGATAAATCCCATTTTAAGGAAAATGTGCTGTCATCATATCCTCATACCAAGAGCAATATCAAAGAGTAAGGCAAATGGTGAAGAAAAACACTCTAGACCACAAGTGAAGGACCCATGCACGAAGACAATACAAAACCATTGCGGAGTGTGTTGCACTGAAGTGACATTTCACGAATGATCTTGTAGAACCAACAGTGACAAATATTATTATGAAACTCGATAATATTATCGTTGCCATCCCTCTAATCAACAATGGATCGACCCTCTTGGTTTAGGAACCAGGATCAATGGTAATCAACACAAAGCGACACTTTTTCTGCAGCTTAACCCAGAAACAAAATCGGGAGAATCTCAACTCAACCAAATAACAATAACGGCAACGAAGGCAACAAAAACTCTAAATAATCAACAAGTCACCAAAGAGCTGAACACCAAGAACAGGTCGTAGAAGAGACGAATTCAAAGTCGAGCCATTTATCCCTTCTAACTTTTACGCCTCCTAAAAACTGCAAGTGAACACAGTAAAGAGAATGTATTTCCCTGTGAAAACGAAAAGAAACCCAAATCGGTGATGAACCCAGAGTCGCAATCACAAAACGCAGCCCAATTTTGGCCAAGACAGAGCAGCCCACTAATAGTCAAATACACCGTAGCTTTTACATCGCTACAGGGTGAGTACTCAGATCCACCAACCCTTCGGAAATGAACATACCAAACTCACAAGCAAAGATTACAACGTAACTATACTCAGGAAAACCCCATCATCCCCATGCACAAAATCAAGCCCAAAGCGCAAGCAAACACAAGGTGGGCAACCATTAAAAGCAGAGAAGGACAGGAATGAATAGATCCAAAAGGTATCCGGAATTAATATTTGAGGGGGGCTTTACCGTCATATCTTTCAGCTTGCTCGGCGAGCCTGGCCAAGTAAACCTGCTGCTCCCTTTCATTCTCCATCGCTTGTGCTCACTCCCTCTCTGAAAATGAGCTTCGGATTTTGGGTTGCTGATTTGGAAACTGCCGATGATATGAGGGTTGGGATTCGGGGAAGAATATAGATCGGAGTATCGGACGATTCAAAAGCTTGGGAGAGGGTTGTTCGACTTCAAGGACTTGATCTGAGCCGTCCGTGATAGGGTAAGGGATAAAATGAACGGTTGGATAGAGGAAGATATAGACTGAGGGTGCATGAGCCAGGAGGTGTTGACTAGAGCAAAAGCGGGGGTGGACTTTTCACGGCTGTGTCGTGTGCGGTGGTTGATACACTGTAGATAGATGCTGAGGTGCTGGCGGGCTCCATGCCGCCGGTTGAGAAACTGGATTAATAAGAGTTGATAATAGAATCGAATCATGGATTTAGTCCGTTTTAATTTGAACTAGTGTGGGCCCCGGCCAATTGGCCGGAGGAATGTGAGGTATGAAATTTGATAATATAATGGGGTGTATAGCTTATTGTTGTATAATTTTTTTGGGAAATTCGTGATAAAAATAGTTAATTTTAGCAGGAAAGAGACATGAATGATGCAATGAATCAAAAATCGGCCTTATGAACAAAAATCAAGTACATGTTACCTTGTGAAACAATATTGTTTCTGGTAATATGATGAGGTGGAGTAAGTTTTATAGAAACCGAATTCCAGAAAAACGAATAAAAAATCGCCTATCTCGTCGATTTTCGGGAAATGAGCATCTCACAATCGTTGCTAGCTTTTACTCGGCCCGTTGGTCGATTAATTTGCTTTATAAAACTTTGATCTTGTTGTCATTGTGCTTTCTGGTTTTTGTTAGGCCATGATAAAATCTAAGGAAATCAAGAACGAATAACACAATTTGGGATAGGAACTGCCGTTGTCGTATCCTAGAAAATGGTGGTAAACCCAGACTCACCTGCCAAACTGGTTTGGATTGAGTTTTTTATCGGGTATCAGGGAACCATGTGATTGTAAAACGGGCCAAAACTTGAAATTCAGCATGTTTGACCGACCCATGCCAAATTCTAATTATTCTTTACTTTTGAACTTTCTATTTGAAAATAAAAAATAGTGAAAGAAAAGAGATGACTGCAATTCGCCATTTGCACATCACTTATTCGAGAATAAAACCATAAAAATTCAAAAGGAACTGAAAATGTTTAGGATCGTTGTAATGTTTAAAATAACCAAATTGATCGTTCTGTTTAGTTTTTTACTAACAAATACCAAACGATTCCCTATAAAATACACTATAATTTGATCATTATGATATCAAATAATTATATAATATATATTTGAAATTAGGGATGGCAATTTCGACCTGACCCGATTTACCCGACCTATTTGACCTGTTTTGGAGCAGGTCAAACCCGCCTCGTAGGCGGGGCGGGGATGGGTACCTCTCATCGACCCGACCTGCCCTGACGCGCCCCATTCTCGACCCGTTCTTGCCTATATTACATATAATCTTAGTCAAATTACTTAGGATTTTCCTCTTATTACATTATATTTTAGCTATAATAAAGTTGTAAATAAGTGAAAACCTCAATTTCTTCAATAATTTAACTACATTTTATCATATTATGGTTTCTTTCTTGGTCTTTTAATGAATATAACGAATGTTTCTAATGTTTTTCGCATAATTACATACCCAACTGGTCGACCTGCCCCTACCCGCGCCCCGTGATAAATTACCCGACCTGGACCCGAGGCGGGTATGGGTATCGAGATACCCGCCCCGGACCTGCCCCATTGCCATTCCTATTTTAAATGATAAAAATTGGACTAATTGGGTTGGTCGAGGTTGAACCATTGAATAACTTTAAAATACATTATATTTTAGCCACTAAGATATAAAATAATAGCATAATATATATTATGCCAGAGAAAATAGCTTGTTTTAGAATGACAAACCAATGATGTTCATTTGTTTTACTTGATGGCCAAATCCCGTGTAGGTCAGACCATTCAACTCTTTTATTTTATGGTTAGCGGTTAGCCCATTAGATACCATGCATTAGTTTATTGTTAAATTTTTTATTTTTAGCAATAAAAATGAGTATTGTTTTTGCCTTTCATATATATTTTATCACCAGGGAGAAATAAAAGGGCTTAAAGAAAAAAATTGACACTCCTGGACCCGTTTAAATCCGCATGTGTACGGTAAGTTGGCCCGTTCCACAGAGGAAAGAGAAAAAAATTGACACTCCCTATTCTACCCTTCCTACAAACGCTCCTGGAGCAGGGAATTTGAAACGGGGGAAGGGTTTTTTCCTCCCTGCTATTATATGTTTTTAATTTAAAAAGATACAACAAATATACTTAGTGTGATTGGTTATGATCCTTGCTTTTCTTTAAAATGGTCATGGTTCGAATCCCAGTATGTGTCTTTTTAATGAATAAAAAAAAAGTAATTGTGAAGACCAAAATGTCCTTCCTACTTTCACTCTCGTTGCAGGAAATTTGAAATGGGGCTCCCGTTTTTCCCTTCGGTGTATTATATTATGTGTAGATATGTGAAACAAATTAGTAATGATATTTTTTGGTAGGAATATAAATTATTTCAAATCTTCTCAATTTTTAATATTCACATTTAAATAAAATATAGCATACACTAAAATGACAAATGTTTATATTTGAATATAACGTATAATGTGAATATTAAAATATTTACATTTAAATACAACATATGATAAAAAAAATATAACTTACTTAAAGTCATGACATGTAGAAATTACTCAATAATTTGACTACTCAAGCCATTAGATGGATGATGCATCTATGCTAATTTCGATAATTCTACATAGATATCATAACTACTAGCATTTGATAGATTTTAGAAAATAAACGACTAAACATATATTCTGTATAAAGCATAACAAAGGAAAACATCATAACTCACTTTCACTCCCACACTTTAAACATGACATTGTCCTCAATGGACTAAAATATAGGGAAGCAATCAAAGAGTTCGAACAGTTTACCTCATTTGTAGTTCAATTTGAAATATAAAAGTAGATGGCAAAGCTAGCATTCTTCTTTATTGTATAAGGAGATTCTGAATAAACATAAGTAAAAGGGAATTAAAAGCATATAATGGAGAGCTAATGTTTCATCTCCTAGATAACATCCAAATGAAAAATAAAAATGGAGGTTATAATATACATGAAACATTGAAGAACATGCTCATTATAAGATGGCTAATCAAATTATGATGTCCATCCATCGCCCCCATTCATCTGTATATGTCAAAGATGGTCTTATGATATGTGTATTGCATCCATTTTGGCGATGATGGTGAATGAACTCTTGATACTCTTCTGATATTTCACACTCCAACTCCTCTATCTTCTCTAGCCATGACTTGGGTCTTGTACTATCTATCATCACATTAATCAAGTGCTTGTAAGGAATCCTCATATAGAGATATCGTCTTTGTCTTAATCATTATCTTTGACGCCATCTTTTTATCATTCTTCTCAAAATCATCATCACTGAGCAGTTGATTAATATGATGATAATGAGTGTGGTTCTTTCAAAGATGGACATCCTCTCCACCAAGGGTATGTCATCGTCTTCGTCCTTCTTCAGGGCGAGAGATGATGCCCTGATTTGAGCTTGAGCAGGCATCGAGGGTTTCCTGAGAGTCACCTTATCTCCTTTTAGGGTGGCGGCATTCCCAGGGCGGACCTAGGAAGGGGCAGGGTGTGTGGTCCGACACACCCTCGCCCGGAAATTTTGTGAATGACTTATATGTTTCTTGTACAAATTTTTTTAATTTGGGACTTCCGACACACCTCAAATAAATGTGAGCGACACACCTTCATTGTACGAGAATGATTTTCGTGTTATAAATTTATTTATCTTAATTAGTAATAAAAAATTCTATGTAATTTTATTAAATTTTAATTAAATTTTTTAATTATTATCTTATTTCATCGACGATACACCTCTCCGACAATTCTAGGTCCGCCACTGGGCATTCCTACTCCCTCATTAAGTGGATGCACCTCCTTTGTCCCCCACAATCTCACAATGATGGGTCTTCACAACTCCGTCTTGCCGTCCTCCTTTGTCCTCCACCATCTCACAAGAATGGGTCTTCATAACTTCTTCTTAAAAAACTTCTTAGCAAAGGACTCCAACGAGTTGTATCGCCAATATTTACTTTGAATCTTGTGAGTATGGGTGAGGCAAAAATAAGAGGGGTGTCTTCCTTTTATAGAGGTGTGGCGGCCTAGTGGCGGTGCCCAACGCCACCCTTTTCCTTGCATGACACAAATTTTAGGGCTTCCCTTGTCACGTAAGAAGAGGAAATAATGAGTCGGCGGAGGGCTTCTTCAACGGCGGGGGCATGACAGTTCTAACCGTTGTGACCTCTTTTCCTTGCGTGCTGCGGATTTCTTTCCTTCTCCTTGCAGGAAACGACAATTTGAAGAGCTTGGCAAAGGAGTTTCGGTGGCGGTCTTCGTGGCTTCTTCCCTCTCCATTTTGGATTTTCTCTCATTTTTTCCTGCAAGATGCATCAAATAAGGAGATCTTGGAGACCACCATGCTCCTTTCTTCATCTTTTCCTTTTTATTTCTCCATATATTTTAAAATAAAACAAAATGGTAAAAGAAACCAAATGGGGAGAGAGCAAGTGCTTCTTTCTTTGGCTCAATGGTGGACCACGAGGAAAATACCACCGTAGTTTCCATCTTTCACCTTTTACCCGACACTTTGATGATGCATCCGTTATCATTTAGATGGTTTAGAATCAGAAGAGTAGTAATCTAACATGGGTAGGAAAGATTCTAAGGTTGTAGAGGTTCAAGAAAGAACTCACATAATCCCCTCGTTTGGGTAAGTAAGATGCTACGATCTCATGGTTCTTTAAAATGCAGTCAAGGGATCTAATTGATGGAATCAAGAGAAATCTTGTTTGACTTCATGATTGATCTCCACCTTGATCGTACTTGATCGTACGGATCTCTTCATGGTCTCCGACTTTGGGAATGACATCCTCAACTTCTCCACCAAGAACTTTCTTGGAACTAATGAATTCTTCAATCTCCGCCCTCACTTCCTCTTGCTCAAAGTTATCTCCAAATGACTTCATTAAACTTTGAGAAGGGGATGTAGGGGGTCATGAAGAGATCCTTCAATTTCAATGCTTGGGTCTTCTATGAGTTGATGTACAGTATCGTCATCCAAGTGCTTGGCTCTCCTTAATGTTGCAATATATGGAGCTTCACTATGATTTATCATTGATGAGGGATGAATGGTGGGATCATGCTCCTCTCTTTGGTTTATGCCATGCTGGTTTGATCCACCACATCT